TTGTGAAATTTTGAGCATCAGAAATACATTTTCAGCTGACTATGAGTTATGGCAAAAATGCTGACACATACATTTTGTGCTCTGAGCATCATAACTCGAGAGCCCGGCTTCCGAAATTCTTCAAAACTTTTTTGGTGCATATTTGGACACTGAGAATCATTTGACATCTAAAATCAAAGCTAGAAAAATTCTGGAAAAAAAACTTTAATTTGAATTCTCTGACCACTGTTACATCTGAAACTGCTCTGAAAATTCGGAGAATTTTTCAAAAAACTGATTTTTATGTTTTTTGATTTTACAGTACCTGTACCTTGGCATTTTTCGAGAACACATGCGACGACTCCACCATCACCACACTGGAGACGTTACGATTCAGAAGACGTTCGGCAAATCGTGTCGAGTGGAAATTGAACAGGGTCACATCGATGTCCGAGAGTGATGTTGTCATTTTTGAGGATCTCTGAAAATTTTTGGGTTGAAAATGTTTTTTTTTTTTTGAAAATTTAATTTTTTTTTAATTTTAGGTTTTTTTGAATTTCAAAAATTTTCAAAAAAAATTGAAAATCTGAATTTCAGAATTTAAGAATCTCAGAATTTGTAATTTCAGAAATTCAGAATTCCAGAATCTCAGAATATCAGAATCAAAGAACTTCAGAACTTCAAAATTTCAGAATTTCAGAATTCCAGAACTTCAGAATTTCAGAGTCTTAGAAATTCAGAATCTCAGAATCTCCGAATCTCAGAATTCCAGAACTTGAGAACTTCAGAATTTCAGAATTCCAGAACTTCAGAATTTCAGAAATACATGAATTTTAGAATCTCAGAATATCAGAATCCCAGAACTTGAGAACTTCAGAACTCCAGAATTTCAGAAATTCGGAATTTCAGAATTCCAGAACTTCAGAATTTCAGAACTTGACAATTTCAGAATATCAGACATCCAGAATCTCATAATCCCGGAAACTCAGAATCTCAGAAATGCAGAATTTCAGAATCTCAGAATTTCAGAATTCCAGATTTCCAGAATTTCAGAATTCCAATATCTCAGAATTTTAAAATTTCAAAAATTCAGAGTTCCAGAATTTCAGAATTTCCGAATTTCAAAATTCAGAATCTCTGAATTTTTAACCTGTAACGATTGCATCAAAACAGACAGCGCCCATTTGATGGGTGCGTGACCATCAGCTCGATTCTCTTCGGCGCCTTCTGAGGCCTCTGACGTCTTCTTTTTCTCATTTTCGATGACGTCACTTGATGACGTGGATTCTGGAGATTCTAGCGGTTCAGAAGACGTCGTCAGAAATTCGAAATTCAATTCCGAAGACGTCGGATTCGAATCTTCTGGAATCGACAGCCATTTCTCTGGATCAAACACCTGGGAGCAGTCGATGATTGTGGATTCTGGAGGAGGATTCTGGAAAACACTCGATTTTCAAATTTTTATAAAATTTTGAAAATTCAATTTTTTAACTTTTTCAAGATTCAAAAAATTTACCTGAAAAGCGACGGTTGGAAACTTTCGAATTGTAGAAATCCATAGAATTTTTCGAGGAAATCGCATTTTTATGAATTTGGAGCTGAAAGTGAACAATGGATTTTTCGAAAATGAAAACATTCAAAAGTTTGAAATCTGAAAATTCAAAAAAGTTGAAATTTTCAGAAGATCGGAAAATCAGAATCTCGGAATCCCAGAATCCCAGAATCCAAGAACCTCAGAACTTGAGAATCTCAGAATCTCAGAATCTCAGGATCTCAGAACATCAGAATCTGAGAATTTCAGAATCTTAGAATCTCAAAATCTTAGAATCTAAGAATTTCAGAATCTCAGAATTTCAGAATTACAGAATTTCAGAATTTCAGAATCCCAGAAATTTAGAACCTCAGAATCTCAGTTTCTCAAAATCTCAGAATTTCAGAATCTGAAAATCTCAAATTCTCAGAATCTCAGAAATTTAGAATTTCAGAATTTCAGAATCTCAGAATTCCAGAATCCCAGAAACTCAGAATCCGAGAATCTCAGAATCTCAGAACCTCAGAATCTGAGAATTTCAGAATCTTAGAATTTCAGAATCTCGGAATTTTAGAATCTAAGATTTTCAGAATCTCAGAATTTCAGAATTTCAGAATCCCTGAAATTTAGAACCCCAGAATCTCAGAATCTCAGAACTCCAGAATCCCAGAATCCCAGAAGTTCAGAATCTCAGAATCCCGGAAACTCAGAATCTCAGAACCTCAGAATCTGAGAATTTCAAAATCTTAGAATCTCAGAATCTCAGAATCCCAGAAATTTAGAACCTCAGAATCTCAGTTTCTCAAAATCTCAGAATTTCAAAATCTGAAAATCTCAAATTCTCAGAATTTTAGAATTTCAGAATCTCAGAATCCCTGAATCTCAAAACCTCAAAATTTCAGATTATTTGTGAATTAAATGTATGTTTTTATTCTGGAAAAAATGTCTGTTGTTATTCTGGAAAAATTAAATGTCTGTTTTTATTCTGGAAAATGCCTATTCATGACGAGAAACTCCCGAAAAACATGTTTAGATTGCGTAAATTTCATTCCAGAGCCAGTTATGGCCGCTTAAAATAAAACAAAAAATTTTGCAAAATTTTTGGGATCGGGAGAATCGAATCTACAACCTTCCTCCTCTGAACTTGCCATTTTACCACTTTACCACACTGCTGATTGAAATCTATTGTTTTAAAAGAAATACACTATTCCGTGAAAAAAATTTCACGAGAAATTGCTTAATCATAGGGAAACTTTTCTAGGTCATAACTCAGCTCACGTGAGCATTTTGCTGATTTTTTAACAGATTTGGAATCCTCATAAGCTCTTCTATCTGCTCCCAAAATTTCAAAAAAAGTTTAACCCGCTCCCTCAAGTAACTCCCTTGTTAGAAATTCAGTTTTTACAATTTTAGAAAATCTCGAAATTCAAAAAAGTCTAAAGTGTCGAAAAATTCAGAAACTTGAAATTCCATAAAAAAACGAATATTTAGGAAAGTTGAAATTTTCAAGAAATCCAGAATTTTCAGAAAACCAAAAATATTAATTGGCTTAATTAACCAAAAATCAGAAAAAAATCCGAAAAAATCCATCATTTGATTTATTGGAAAATTGCGTCGAATTGAATGTACCGTAACCACCCAAGCCGCCAACTTTGAGCCCCTATATCTTGGTTACTGTGAAAGATACCGAAGAGTGATCAACTGACAAAATGTTCTTCATGAAATCAGGAACATTTTATCAGTTGACCAATTTTTGAAATCTTTCACGGGAATCGAGATATATGGGCTCAAAGTTGGGCCTACGGTAATAGAAGAAGAGAGTCAGAGAGCAAGATTGGAAAAAACCAGCGAAAAAAATTTAGATGAAAATTGCGATTTTTGAGATTTCAGCCAATGAAAAAATAAAGGGGAAAATTGGTAAAAAAGTGGAAAATAGCTTTCAAAAATTGAAATTTTTTCAGTTAAAAAATTCAAATATCATATAGGGATAGGGATAAAAATGCAGGATTTTTCAAGTATTTCAAAAAAATCAATAAATCATTTATCAGCTTCCTTCGCATCAACATCTCTAACATCTCTGGTTGGCCTTCCGACGATTCCATCGTCTTCCATCAGAAAATCATTGAACATCTCCTGTAGCTCCCATCTGGCCGTCGGATCGTTCGACTGAATTTTCATACGTTTTCCGCCATTGCTCATTGTTATTTTGGCTTGAAGAATCGGAATATTGAGTACTGTAGTTTTTTGGTTTTCCGTCGTCTCTTCGTGTGGGTCCAGGTTTCGTTTTCGAAGCTCGCGGAGCAGTTTGACAAGGGTGACTTTTCCGTATTTCTGTTTGATGACCGGGTAGTTGGATGGGACCAATTTGAAGTCGTCGTTGTAGGCGGAGAGGTTGCAGGCAACTGGAAAATTTTAGAATTTCAGAATTTTAAAATTTCAGATTCTCAGTATTTTAGAATTTCAGAATGTTAGAAATTCAGAATCCCGGAAAAACAGAATCCCAGAATCTCAGAATTTCAGAATATTAGAATTTCAGAATCTCAGGATCTCAGAATGTCTGAATTTCAGAATCTCGAAATTTCGGAATCGCAGAAACTCAGAATCCCAGAATCTCAAAATTCCAAGATCCTAAGAATGTCAGAATATCAGAATCTCAGAATCCCGGTAATTCAGGATTGCGGAATTTCAGAATCCCAGAATCTTAGATTTTCAGAATCCTAGGATATCAAAATCTCAGATTTTAGAATTTCGGAATCTCCAAATTTCAGAATTTCAAAACTTCGGAATTTCAGAATCCCAGAATATCAGAATCCTGGAAATTCAGAATCTCAGGTTTTCAGAAATTCAGATTTGTCAGAATCAGGTTTTCAGAATCTTCGGAATTTCAGAATCTCAGAATATTACAACTTCGGAATCCTAGAATCCCAGAATCCCAGAATCTCAGAATCTCAAAATTTGAGCCCATCCAACCTGAAGCGATTGCCAACTTTTTCGTCGGATGCTGTTTGAATCGTAGATCTCTGACGACATCCGGATGCACAGACACCGTGACGGTTTTCGTCTGATCTCTTGTCATTTTCCACAGTTTGACTGTCTCGTTGAACTTGATTGGCCATAGGTTCTCCTGGAGTTCTTTATTGATTTTTCAACATTTTCCAAAAAAAGACTTTTCTTAGAATTTTTCAGGGTAAAAATGTCTGAAACTCACATATGTGATCTTTAAGTCTGGCCGATTGAGCACTGGTTGCGAATAGGCGGACGGGCAAATGACGACCTGCAAATGTGCTCAATTGATAATTTTAGAAATCTAAACTTTTAAAAAACCGAAATAAGATTGTCAATAGAGCGAGTTAGCGTTTTACGAAATTTTTTTAATAATTCTCAATGGCGCGCACTTGCCTTCGGCTTCCACTCCTGCAAATTCTTGTCCAACGTGGCGAAGTCCATTCGAAAATCCATTGGAATGTTGATAAATTTGATGGGCAGGTTGCGGAACGGTTCTCGAACCTCTTCACATGGCAAATCGGAATCTGGAATTGAAAAAATCAAAAAATTTCAGATTTTCAG